AATGCGGACCTCCTGGCCATGAGGATAAATTTTTGCAATACTGTCATTACCAGATCTAAAACAGGGTTAAAGGGATCAATCAAGCATAAAAATATTGGATTTGCGGAGGGAATTTCACCTTATAAATTTATGAAATATGATGAAAGTTCCGAGACAAGTTGACACTTCATAAAATAAGGGTTCCTGACATTGTGGAACACAAATGAAACGTAAGACTAATTTTTTTTTCCTCACCTTTTTTTCCTTCTTTTTTGGCGAAGGAATTCAATTACATATTTCACGCCCAAACATGTAACCCGAATTTTTATCGATGCGGTACAGTGTTTAGACCAGTACTGATTGGTCTCATTTGGGTGCACAATGCTGCACATACTGATCTCAACATTAAAGGTACCCTGTTTCACTGACCACCTCCTTGCACTATGCTGGGCCAGAAAAGTGTGATACTACATAAAGGTTTTGAGGCCTCTTACTCCTTCATATTCGTTGGCGAGAGGTAATTATTTGAGGTCCTCCCTTGAAAATCCAAAACTTTACTTCTAACGACTATCAGTTTTCAATTGATATCAGAGTTCCTTCGACCTTGATTATGCATTCCGAGCACAGATCAGTGCAGTACCTCGACTTAAATATGATCCCTGAACCGCATCCTATCCTATGGACATGGAAGAAATTAACGATAATTTCAGAAGTGAAGCCGATAAACAGACGTAAGACAGCATCAAGACTTGTCTGGAGTCACTCGATCAACACAGCTGCGCTCTCTGGGGCGGAAAGCCCCTTTGAGGTAGGCAAACCGACGAACGCCAGCCTTTGATGTTGTCACCGAGTTCTGTGCTTAATGAGGGGGTAAATGAGAGCGGCTTGCAAGTTCCGCTCCGGTGAAATATGCAAGGGCCACGGCGGGGAAGCTAACGTGATGTTTCAATCTGCCCCTGCGGCGGGCGAGGAGGCAACCTGCTTCACGCTGACGGCAAATCATTCCATCACTGCAATCGCACAAAGCGACCATGCACTCGGGCGCAAGATGCGATCGGAGGTTTGCCAGAGGAGATGAAAAATTGAGAGATATGACACGACATGGCAGCCTGCCGTGAAATGAAGTTGAGAAGTGCATTTTGCATTCTGAATCATTTATCTGTAGCTTTGAATGAAGGTGACACAAGGACACGACACGGCATGGCATGGTTGCCAGGTTGTTTGATAAAATATGAATATTATATGAATTTAAAAGGGGAAAGGTGCTGTTTTTCAGCACCATCTGGCGACAATGCGACACCAATGGCAATGCCGTTATCCATGGTTTTGCATCGTTGTTGTCAAGCTATACAGGGATTTTGTCAGGGAAAACGGGCGAACTTAACAGGCAGGCGGGAACCGGGAAAAATCCCGGTAGGCCGTTTGATGTCTAAAGTAATTTAAGACCAGTTTATGCCAAAATGCAAAAAACAACTAAAACGGGCTGGTTCAAGTACTCTACTGCTGGACGGTTTCAGGACATTCCGTCAACGATTTTTTGTCCGGGCACCAGTTTAGTCCAGTGATTTACATCCACGCGTAAAATAAGAAACAGTGACTTGGTCCAAAGGTTATATATCAGTCCGTATGTAAAATTATATTGACAATATCGAATTAGAAAATTGAGAGAGAAGAGGGTGTTGTTATGGTAACTCATTTTTTAAATGAAATGTTACTTTCTTCTCTTGATTCATCTTTCAAATGTTCATTGGTGAATATTTGGTTTTATTTCTATCTATAAAATAGTCGATTTAAAATATACCGTATATAGGTATGTACCTTTTTTTAAATGATAATATTACTTCATTTTAAAAACATTATATTTTTAAAACGTGGCAAATATTTGTAAAACCTTTCCCAAGCGATGGCATCGATATTAATCTCAATGAGCAGAAATTTTACTTAAAGGAACTAGACAAAAATGAAAAAGAGAGAAAAAACCAAGGCGGAAGCAATCTTTGGTTTTAACCCACTTTTACATCGATCTTTCACAGTTTAACACGTCCAATTTTGAGCGTTTGGTTGCGAATACACCACGCTGCAGCACAGTAAAAGCACAAAACCCAAAAGAAAAATTAAAAAGCTCTGGAAATCATTAAATTAGATACGGAACCACCTTAATATTTTCAAAACACACGTTATATATTCCTTTAATACATATATTTTTTTCCATCAATTAATCCGTGCAGAGCGTGCAAACATTTCAAAATCATGAGTTGGAAAACTCTGACTCCGCGAGTTTAAATATTATATTAGAGCTTTACACAGAGCAAAATGCGCACTGGCGCCTACAAACCTAACGTGATACTTCACGCGTTGCGCAATGCGTGAAGTATCCCTGTTAGGTTTGAAGGCGCCTATGCGCGTGTCACGCTGGTCGCCCGCCGCGCCGCGGAGTGCTACAGCGCGGCGTTTCAAGCAACTATTTCGAGACGTAGGTGTTGCACAGTAATCTAAAAAAAAACTCACATAGTCCTAGCATCCGTATTTAATAACGTTTAGCATAATTTTTGAATTTCATTAGAGAAAAATGTGACTCAATTTAGGCAGAAACATTCTTGAGTATGCCGTCAAGAAGATTTTATTTTGAATCAAGAATAAAATAGCTGAATGAAAGCGGGTTTCTGCTTGATCTAAGTGACTTTTCTTTTTATTTAAACATTCTTTCTACTCTAAACAAGCATTATTTTCTTTATTGATTTATGAGGAAATCTTCTCGGCAGTAAATTTGAGCATATTTCTGCTAGAATCAAGTCACTTTTTCCTCTAATTAAGTTCAAAAATCATGCTAAACGTTACTGGATCCAGATACTAGGACTTGTCAAGTTTTTCGACTACAACTCTCTTTTTTTCGTCGTCACTCGATTTGATTTGCGAGGGAACTTCGTGCTTTTGAAATATGCCATCAATCATGATACGTTGGACGTTGGGGTACCTTCAATCTTGTATGATACTGTGCAACATATTCATGGCGAAATAGTAGTTTGAAGCGCCGCGGCACGCCGTCGCCGTCGCGAAGTTATCGTGCACAGGAAACATCTAGGAGCCTTTAGCTGAGGATAATCAAAAGGTTCATCCGGTTCAAGTATAAGAAGATGGGATTTTCTTGAAAAATTATTAAGTCCTGTTGCACCAAAGAGATGTAGAGAGTTTTAGTGAATTTTCCCTCACAGAATTGACGCCAAAATTCTCAATTATATATTTTTTTCCGTTTGGCCAATCAAACAAACAAAGAACGAGCAAACCCTCATTCTTCCAAGACATTATACATTTCATCCAAAAACATCGTGAGCAAATGTTGTTTGTACTTACATGTTTACCAATTAACTTTGGGTCTCAATAATTGGTAAGTGGGCCAAAACTCCCATGCCGAAAAAACACGTGGACTTACACTCCTGGAAAAAACAAGTGCTCGGACAGAAAATCGTTGACGAAATGTCCTATATAACCACTGCTGGACTGATATTCCTGGTTACTTTTTTATTCTTACAAGTCCATCTCTAGCGAATCGAGTATACTTATAAGCTGAATAAAGACCAGTCAAGACCGCACTTAAGTCCGTCTTGCACAGGTCTCCTGGTCGACTGGCGGTGCAGTATAATTGGCTCAGGAACGGATTACGGTGCGAAAGCACCGGCAAAAGTCGGTCCCATGCCTTTACTACCTCACATCTGTGAAAACGCTCTTTGCTTTTTTCAGTTATTTTGACAAGAATGAAAAGGATTGGACATTCTAAATGCATGGGCGGGACTAGGAATTTTCTGTGGGGGGGGGGGGAGAGGATATAGAACTTGCGCTAAAGGGGGGGGGGGGGGGGGAGAAGGCAGGAGGATATAGAACTTGGGCTAAAGAGGGGTCGAGGGGGACTCCCATTGAAAATTTGGGAAAATTGGAACGTTTTGAGAGCAATTTTAAGCCGTTCTCAATGACAAATTAAATATTATAGATGACAGAAAATGTGCTGATTTGTTTTTAAGAATATCATATCTTACTGTGGGTATTAATTGAATTTATTTTAATTTAACTCTCATGAAAACAAGTCCGGATACAGTCAAACTACATTCAACGTTCCTTACTCGGAGGAAACTGTTCTCTTTGCGAGGAATTTACATCTTCTGACATCTTTGATCGACTACTCTTTCTCACTTCTCGACTCGATTCTTTACTTCAAAAGGGAATCCCAATTTTCTCTTTCTGTTTCCTCCCCCTTCTCGTCTCTGAACATGAAGACAGAAACCCAGTTAACCTAGTCCACTTAAGAAGTATGAAACAAAACTCGAATTTCTTTATTACACATGTTATTCGATCCGTTCCGACTTTTCTCTCTCCCCAAAATTTTGCTACTGTACCTATGTTCTTTCGCGGTACTTAGCACAATACATAATATGGTAACAAAACGGAAAATCTAGATTTATATTACCTAGTAGTAGGTGAAATAATTCACTAAGAGGCAGAGGAAATAACGAATACAGAATTATAGAACAAGATATTTAATCTTTTGATGCACAGCACCAGTAACATCGCACTCCAAACAGGAGTTATAAGATGATGACCTCTTAAAACTGTAGGAAAACACCTTCAGTTTATATATACAGGGTTATTCAAAAGTTACGCACCACTGGCCATAACTTTAGTTTTAATTATGATATCGATTTGCGGTTTGTGGCGTCCTTCCTCATATCGAGGGGGAAACTTTTTGAGGTACTTTTCAGTTCTTCACCCCCCNAAGTACCTCAAAAAGTTTCCCCCTCGATATGAGGAAGGACGCTACAAACCGCAAATCGATATCATAATTAAAACTAAAGTTATGGCCAGTGGTGCGTAACTTTTGAATAACCCTGTAGGTAAAAATATGGTCAATAAAAATAATTTCTTTTCCCCATACTGAATAGTCCAGATTTCATCTTATCGCCCTAGGAAACTCTCTTTTTAGTGGCGAAGAATTCTATTGAAGATCTTCTATTAAAGTTGACTGACAAGAATGAATGAATAGATATAACTTTAATTTCTAAGAAAATGCAGAGTAAGGGACTGATACTTGCCTCATGTGAATTTCATTTTGCAATAAGAAACCACTATTTCTGGCCCATTTTAGAAACAACATATATGCCATTGGTTTCCCTATGCAGACATGTGCTTTTATGAAAGAGCCAGAGATCGTGGTTCCTTATTGCAGAATGCAATCCATGTGATCAAAGATACTATAAACAACTAATTCATCGAGAGGAATTCATTTCATAGAATTCTGAAATTTCTCACAAAGGCGTAGTTCAAGAGTCGGCAACTGGAGCAATCATTAAATAATTAACATTGCGTTTTACCGAAAAATTTTATGAACTTTGAAATAGCCGGCAAGTATGTACATACATTGTACACCCTGTCGAAATGTTCAGTTGTCCTGGTCATCGGGATCATTCCACGCTTCAAGCCACGCCTTTTTAGTGATAATGGGGTGTTTCTTCAGGTACTCATTGAGAATAGTATTGAACTCATCTAAAGGCATCTCTTCAGCCACTTGCAATGAATAGTGGTCAGTATGTTCGTGGAGGAGAACACAACGCTCCGGCAATGGAGTTCCAGCTTGAATGCAGAATATTGTTGGTGAACCTCTAAATTCAGTCAAGATCTGAGCCATAGTCTGACCTTTAGGGCGCAGTGACAGACCATTTGGAGTGTGAAACTTGTCTCCTTCCATTGGCCGAACCAATTTCTTTTCAGTGTAGGTCTTCAAATCAAAGGATGTGCGTTGCTTAGCCATCTGAGTTGCATGATCTCTCAACTCAACGGGCAACTTATGCTGAATTCGAAATAAAGTCACAGGCAAAACAGTGAATCTTTTCATTCTCAAAAGTAAATAAAAGATACGGCCAAAGTTGCAAAATAACTACCTTTTGGAGTGTTCCAGTTATCGCCCTCTTAAACTCTGAGAACATATCAAATCAAAAACACATAAAAACATTAGTAAACATTTTTTCAGCTCATTCCATCAATCGGAGGGATTTTCTTTAATTAGATTGAAAGTATGCTAGAAAATCATTCATTCGAGGAATCGATGAATCATTTGTCATGGCTGCAGTCTTCTTTAAACTTCATTTCAACTACAAGATCTGTTTTTCTATTCTAATATTATTATTTTAAACAACATGACCCGACTTCCTGGTTATAGGACATTTCGTCAACGATTTTTTGTTCGCGCACCAGTTTTTCCAGTTGGCTTACGTTCAAGCGTTTTTTCGGCACGGGAGTTTTTGTCCACGTGCCGGTTGAGACCCAAAGTTAATTGGCCCATATGTAAATACAAACGACAATTTATTGCTCACGACGTTTTTGGATGAAAATGTAAAATATTTTGGAAGAATGAGGGTTTGCTTGTTTTTTCCATGTTTTGTTTTCCTTTGGTCCAACGGAGACTAATATATAATTGAGATATTAGGTAATAATTGGGGAACGTCAATTCTATGAGACAAAATTCACTAAAACTCTCGACACCTCTTTGGTGCAAGAGGACTTAATTATCTTTCACGAAATTCCTACCTCGCTATACCTAACCGGGTAAACCTTTTGATTTGCCTCAGCTGAAGCCTCTTAGATTTTTCCTGTGTACGGTAAGTATCTTGATTTATTTTGCGAGGAAAGATCTGTACTTTCAGAGGATGCATGTCATTCTTAATACGTTCAATTTCGTATAATACTGTGAAACACCTCTGTTGTGAAATAGTTCCTTAAGGCGCCGCCGCACGACGGGCGGGCAGCCAGCGCGAAACGCGCATTGGCGCCTACAAACCTAAGTGGATACTTCAAGCATTCCGCAGTGCGTGAAGTATCCACTTAGGTTTGTAGGCGCCAGTGAGCCTCTCACGCTGGCAGCACGCTACTCCGCTCTGTTTGGCTTTAATATTTATACTCGTAGAGTCAGCGTTTTTTAACTCATGATTTTGAAATGTTTGCACACTCTGCATGAATTATTCTATTAAAAATTGATGGGAAAAAAATCTGTATCAAAGGAGAATATAATGTGTGTTTTTTAAATATTGGTGGTTCCGTGTCAAATTTAATGATTTTAAAAGCATTTAATTTTTTCTTTTACATTCAGAGATTTTACTGTTGCGAGTGCTGCAGCGAGGTGTACGCGCAACCAAACGCTCAAAATTTGACGTTTTTTACTCCAAAAGATCGATGTACAAATGGGTTAAAACCAAAGATTGCGTGCTTCTTGGTTTTTTTCCCTCTTTTATTCATTTTTACAGTTTCTTTTAACACAACTGCGGCTCATTGAGATTAATATCGATGCCATCGCTTGGAAAAGGTTTTACAAATATTTGTCACGTATAAAAAATGTAAATGTTTTCAAAATGAAGTGATAATTTCTTTTAAAAAAAAGAAGAAAGTAACATTTCATTTAAAAAATGAGTTACCATAACAACACCTCCTTCTCTCTTAATTTCTCATTTTGATATTGTTAATATAATTTTACATACGGACTAAAATATAACGCTTTGACCCAGTCACTGTTGCTTATTTTACGCGTGGACGTAAACTACTGGACAAAACAGGTGCGAGGACGAAAAATTGTTGACGAAAGGTCCTGAAACCGACTTCCTTATGATAAAAGAAAAAAAATATATCTTCGATTGTAAGGAACATGATGTGATAATACAAATCAACCCCGGTTTCGTCGCACCGAAAAATTGTAGGAAATTACGTATAGGAATGTTTTGAAAAAACGTTTTGGAGCGTTGTTGAGAATGTTGTTGAAACTAGCAACAACGATCTAAAACGATGTTTCGAATTGACGTTCTTCCGGGAGCAACGTTTGATTTTCCATTCCCGGCATTTAGACATTTCGAGGAGAGACGCGAGACGCCATGTCAAATGCCATTGAAATTTTTAATATTTCATCTTTTGACACCTGTTCACCCTGCAAAAGGTACATTCTGTAAAATCATGATGTCATCTTACGAGTAAATGCAAAAATAGGCATCAGGCACCTCTTAAGTTCAACTCACATGCTATTTCCTTTTGTTCAACTTCTCAGAGAATGTTGAATTAAATGATCATTGATACAAACACAATTACAATGAAACGGTGTGCTGTATACTTAAGTTTATTTCGAAAAAAGTAAATATAATGACTCATTTCAGTTCTCCACCGATACCTTTGAATAGGTTATTAGATGGCAAGTTGAGATAATGAAGCCAGGCAAAAAGAACTAAACCTTGTGGCATAAAAAACAGCAAAACCCAGTGCCGTCGCGAGGGTGGAGAGACAGGAGTGACGGACACAGGTGTCGCATTGACGCGAGCGCAAAAATGAAAGAGAAAGTGAAGAGAAAGGACGAAAGATAAAAATAAATGGAGGGAAATGGAGGAAAAAGGGGATGAAAGAAAACTATGATAAGAGGGAAAAGAGAACTAAAACGAGGATGAAAAGAGAAAAAAGAGGAGAGAGAGGTGCCGGAAAAATGGGGAGGAGGATGGAAAGGAAAGTATTGATATAGGGGCAAACAAGGGCCTCTTTGGATGTAAAATCACCCATTGAAGCTTGATTTTTAAACGAGAAGGCGCATTTTGGTGACATGGCGTCTCGCGTCTCTCCTCGAAAAGAAGGCGCTCTTATTCTTCCATGCTGAGAAAGAGCGCCGTATGAGCATTCGAGAGTTGCCAAGTTTCTTCCGATAAATTGTTCATTTTGGAGGAAAATCATCAATATTTTTCCTTGAAATTTTGAGACTTTTTAGATAAAAAATTATCTGAGAAATTCGAAGGAAAATATGCACAAATTTTCTTGAAAATCAGTGATTTGTCAAAGGAAATTTGGCAACGCTTGAAGGCTCATACGGCGTTCTTCCTTAGCACGGCAGTATAAGCGCGGTGACTCTTCTTAAGAAGAGTCGGTGCGTGGCCTCAACGGCCGAATGGTTGACTCATTTTCAAACCCGATCAACAGTGTAACAGCGTACATTCGGTGGCGATTCTTGAAAGTTGGCAACACTGTTTTTTCTCCATTTAAATGTATGAAAAACAATCGATTCTTGGTGGCTTCACCTAAAACGATATTTTGAATCGATTCAAATGGAGGGAAAACGATGTTGCCAACTTGCAAAATCGCCACTACGTACATTAGGGATTTAAGGGGCGCTCATAAATTACGCAACACATTTATCGGAGTATTTAACCTCCCTCCACCCCTTTTGTAACGCCTTTGGGAAGTAAGTCCCTATCTATCCTTAACGCTCTTTTTAACCCCCCTTCCTACAGCGTTACGTAATTTATGAACGGCTAGTGATTTATACGGTTGCTAGAGACAATTCTCTAGTAACGAGTGACGACGCGACGCATATGAATCGCCTTCATTGTAAAAAGATACTTCGTAGCGTGCCCTCAGAGGCCGAATAGTTGCATCATTTAAAACCCCAAACAACAGTGAAGCGGCGTAGGTTAGCGAGTAACGCGGTTGCTTGAGATAATTCTTCAGGCGAATTTCCGCGGGCGGACGTCATCTTTCGACCAAATCGTCAGGGCTGCAACACACAGGATAAAATTGCGAAGAAAGGATGTGTCCCGTTCAGGGCCTTTTTTGGCCCTAACTTTGGGTAAAAAAATTATGGCAGCTTAGAATGAAGTCACACGTGCACATATCAACTCTTAATCATCTACCCTGGGAGAATACATCCTCGATCGAAGTATATTTTTGAAAGGTCTTCGCCTGATTGACCGGCGCAAAATGGTGAGGTTTTGCCGTTTTCTCGAAAAATCGCTATTTTTCGGTTGTAGGGCAGATTTTTGAGTTGTGAGAGTGAGTGCTAACTTCCTGTCATACATAATTTTTTGAAATTTCCGGTGATTTTTCTTCTCTGTGTGGAGAATATTCTGTGAAAATTTCAAGCCATGATGTTGGTTCGGTCTCTTTATGAACAATAAATGAGGAGGGGAGATTTTGAGACACCGCAACCAGGGCCGGATTGAGGGGGTGGCCACATGGGCCGCGGGGCCGCGGCCCATGGCGGCAAAATTAGGAGGCGGCAAATTTTGTAATTTTTTTAAAGGCAGGTACAAAAAAATCGGATTCAGAAAAAAATTACAAACAAGAAAAGGTGACAAAATCTCTCATTTCCTGAGAGTTCATTAATTTCTAATTTTGTCGTATTTCGGTGATACAAAAGACTGCGCACCTTTAATTAGTTGATTTAAGAGAGAAACCAAACACGCAATTTGACCTGGAGCGGCGCGGCACAAAGAGAAATAATGACGAGGACTTGAGATGAAAAGGAGAAGCCCTGGACGCGGCGCGGCAGTCGGCATGTAACACATATTAGCGCCTACCAGACTGCATGAATACTTCACGCATTGCGTCAAATACAATACGGTCAACAGCGGTCGGCGCGGCGTGAAACGCTCAGTGCCTACAAGACTACATGAATACTTCACGCATTGCGCCAAACAGTGTGGTCAGCGCGGCACAGCGGCGGAAGTTAAAATTATTAAACCACATTTATGTTTGTTCTTTCTTAATTTTTTAGTTCATTTCTTACAAATGAAAGGCCTTGTCCCCACAGAGAAAGGTTTACTTTCGCGCGAAGTTCCGTGAACTTTTGCTAGAAGTGTTGACAGGGCTTATGCAAAAATGTGTTCGACACGAGTGAACGTGTCTTATGCACCCTTCTCCCTCCGGCACGCTCACTTGATGGTTTTTATTGATGTTTCAAAATGAATGAGAAGAGGGCGGCAAAATACAGGCGGCCCATGGGCGGCAAGTAGGTGCATTTTTGCACCAAGTTGAAGTAGAGGGTAGAAATCGGGTGGCCATCCGTTTTTCTTGAAAGGCCCAAAATCAGTATATCTTGTTTAACACAACATCTGTTCTTTTTTCAGTACTTCTTTCCGACAAATATTTTAGTTCATGACACTCAGTACCCTAGAAAATTGTTTCGTGAGCTACTGGCCCTTAAAACGTCCACCCCCCTCCCCCTTCCTCAAATGATGTAGAGAATTTAGAGAGGCCCAATAATAGAACGTGTTGTCTTTCTCACCACCCTCTTCCTGTCGCTGTTTCAGGCATTTCCAATTACAATTTCGAAATTTCCTTTGATGTGTCTATCCATAAGTATTAAAAAACAAAAAAATATTGAAAATTGGAAAAACCCGAGTTGGTGTGTTTTCGAACTCACTGATTCAAGTTACCATTGCCTGTACCAAACGATCAAAGTTGAACCCTCAATAAGGCTCATCAATGGCATTGTTGACTGTTGGCCTCTCAAGGTAATTGATCATCAATCACTGAGAAATTAAAGAATTAGTGCCACTTTTAGAGCTCTATTTTCATCCTGTGATCCAGGCTCATTATGCAACATGAGAAGGTAATGATAACGCATGCATGGTTTGTTTTTGGAAAATGGTTAAATGATAGCTATTCTTCTGAATATTTAATGTTTAACATTATCAATATTTATGTATTAGAGGACAATCTGAGTAAGTTTGTACAAAACATATCGGCCTGACAGTCGTCTTAAGCATCACAAACTCAGCACTTATGTATCAGCTTCTGCACCGGAATGACTCTTCTAACTGGGATGTAATTTGACTATAGGCTTACTTGAAGTATGTGAAACAGCTATGATCTGAAGGACAGGACTAAATAATGGATTTACAGGATCCCATGCATTGCCCTATTCAGGCATACAAGTTTAAGAAAAACTTTGCTCCCATTTTGTTCAACAAGCAAGAGTTTGCGTTAATAAGCTATTGTGTGGTAAATTATTGAAAGAAAATTTGAAGAAAAATATAAAAACTTACATTAAAGCTCAGAGGAGCAGCAAGGAGTACAAACAGTGCTGGGGGTGCTTCAAATGGACACAATTTACTCTCGGATCGTCCCTGAATTATTTAAGGTTGAAGATTTCATTCACAGATGCACATAATTTTCTTGCCGATGGATAAACATTTAGAAAGTGTAATAAAGTTGCGAATAAGAGCAATAAAGGTTTCACCTCACATTCAGTTTTTAAGTTGTGTTGTGAATTGTGATTTATTTGAGGTTATATTTACATCATTCTTAGATAAGATAAGAGTGTTACCAACTGCCGGCGTTGAGGGTGGTACTTTTCACTGAAAGGTCCTCAAAACTTACCTCCAGTTAAACAATGAGTTTCAATGGGCATAAACGTATTTTAAATAAAAAAAAATTAATAAATAGATCTCTTATGGTGCATTTTAGATGGTTAGAATGATTTTTACATGTGAAAAGAAATGTCATTTCAACATTCCAACATTCTGGTTCAGTGCTACTTTGATTTTTATGGTCTGGCATTTTGGAAAACGTTGCCATATCATACATTTTTTTTCAAGGAAGTTATTCTAGTTCGTAGGACACTATGACTATTTTTTAAGCATTATTTTGAAATTGATTTTTAGTTTCATATTCATTTATTTCTATTTAATTACTAGAAAGGTCTAATTATGGAGCGCAAAACCACAGAACAACAACGGTATGTATTTGTTTCAAATTTTCGCGCGGTAAAACTGGCACGCTATTGGTGGAAACCAATTGATTTCCGTTTCCGGTGGTGCATTTTTGAGGTTATGTTATTATGTGGAAAGAGATAATAGGCTGAAGCTCCAAAAAGTTGCTGTAGACGTGTAACTTACTTCCCTTTTTTTGAAGCCGGCATTCCTCCAACTCTACCGGCAGCAGTGTGCTTCGACTTATTCCTTGTCTTCTCGTCGCGGCGTTTTTCCTTCACAATTCGCCAGTGATTGCAAAATGACAGTCATTAGGTATACAAGGAATTTATTCCTCCGAGGGATAAGTGTTGTGTTCCTATTTGCCTTCACATCGTTCTACATACAAATCCCCGGTAAGTTGAATGAACTCCTCCAATCAAGCCGATCTCCTTTTCTTATTTTCATGGTATCCGTTCATACCCTCTCTCTCTCTCACATGTTTTCTCAAATTTGTACCACTGGTAATCAGCAAACGCTCAAGTCTAAGGTATCATACACGTTGAGATGATTGAACCCGCTTCTTGGTACACAAGGGCATTTGCTCATCCCACCATGTAAAACATGATAGATCATGTTATTTTACATCCCTGATTCGACAAGCAGTTAAAGCTTTTCAATGTAACGCAGGAGTGTTTCACCTAATCATTACTGAATCCAGCCATGTTCCTCTTGTGTCCCCCGATCTGCCGAGTCATTTGATAAGGATATGCTCTCCCAAAAATAATAAAAAAAGTTGGCTAAGATATTGCCAAATTTTATAATATTAGCTGACCTCTGAATTCCCTGAACCTGAGTTTCTATTTCAACACTCATCAAGTATTGATTCACTTCCAAAGGACGATTTTTTGTCCCCCTTATGTGATCATTCATTGCTGAAAATATGTGTCCTGATGTTGATCAAGACTTAGTCCAGAGTTAAAATTCAAATTTGACCATAACTGGTTCCCCCTTCAACTGAGTAAGTACCAAGTTGTTGGAATCCTCGATGTAGGAAAGATACTTACTTTTTAATTCTCAAGAGACTTTATCACCACTAAAAATAAGCGAGCATTCTTCCGAAATTATGTTTGTGATGATTAGGGTAAATAAAATTCATGATTACCTTTTACAGGATTGTACGGCCGAAATGGTATTCTACCAGCATATACTCAGTTTGAGAAGCCACATGCTGATATGCGCATCAACCTTCAGTCAAAACCAACGTTACTTTGGTTCGCACCAGCTCTTGGGATTGATGTAGAGCACATGCTAGAAATACTATCAGTTGTTGGCATACTCTTGTCCTTCACAGGGTAAGTAAACGTGATCTCCTGTAGTATCATTTTTTCTGTGTCTATACTTCTTTATTTACTAATTATTTTCTCATCAGCACATGTAATTTCTATTATTTTCAATGAAAGTCTAATATCTATTTGCGTCCGACCATTCATGAGGAAAAGATCTTTAGTGCTGAAAAGCATAAATTTCTAGAACTTAATCTAGTTTATGTCTCAAATATAAGTACCTTACTTATTTGAGTTTTTCAAGGAATACGTACTAGCATCCCAAAAAATCTAGCGCAAGCAATTTAGTTAATATATTGACTGTAGAAGTCCCAAACCACCTATTTCATTTGCATTGTTTTAAAAACTCCGCTCCCATTTCATTTGTTTGAAGGAAAACAAATCAACATCATTCCTTGAAGTTCTCACAGTATTTCCCTCGTATAGAAAAGAAAACTTTCTAAAGTTCCAAATGATGTGAAGTAGTTTCCATTTAAAAATGAACTGTGACAGAAAGTCTGCAACATTGCAAATGGAGATATGTGGTTTAAGAGTTTCACTGTTGGTATGTTTGTCACTCTAGACTTAGTTTCCCTTGATACTTTACAACCCCTTATTACCACAGTTTTGGTTCAACCATAATCCTTCAGGAATCCTCCTCTTAAACATCAGCACATTAGATCATTTTTCGAATTACAGCAGATGTGAAATTTACTTTTAAATCCAACAATTTCAAGCCCCAAAAATGGCTGATCAAATATTTAAGTAGCCATTTCTCAAAGCAGCATTTCCTGGACAGCAAACCTTATCTACTGTTGGTCAAACTTAGGTTGTCTCACCTCAATACCTTCTTGGCATTAAATTTTTTCCCAAACCTCTTCTCTGTTTGCCTCTCCACTCATTAAATGGAGAAGTACTTTAACCGCAACATTCTCAAAATAAAAATATTAATATCACTCATCAATGTTCATTCAACTGAAGCTCAACCTTTTTTTGGTTGCTTTTTCTCTTGTTGATAGGTTTGTATCTCAGAAGTGCTGTTGCAAGCCGGTTTTTGCTGCTCTCTGGTCCCTTTACTACTCGCTCTTTCAAGTGGGACAAACATTCATGTGGTACCAATGGTAAGTTGAATCATTCAGCTATCTAATGCTTGATCTAACCCATCGGGTTATTTTTTTGTGAATTATATTTTCCTGGATAAATTAGTCTCCTTTTTAGGTACGAATCAATTGAAAGTATTCAACAAATCTCTTTTCCTCTCAATTTATTCCATGGAGACATGCACGGAAAAAAAAAAGAATTGCTGGTTCAGCAATTCAATTGCTAAAAACATTGAGTGCAATGTTTGAACGCAGATTTTACAACAAAATAATGCTACTTTAACCACATTGTAAACTAATTTAACCACGGGGGCGGTTAAAGTAGCATTATTTTGTTGTAAAATCTGCGTTGAAACATTGCACTCACTGTTTTTAGCGATTGAATTGCTGAATCAGCAATTCTTTTTTTTTCCGTGTGGATACTACTTTCTCTACGTGTGCAGGCTTTGAGTCTCCAAATGGATAATTATGTTTTTCCTCAGATCTTTGTTGATTATTACTTAATTTCCCTATAGCTTGTTGATCTATCAGTTATTTTAGTTCTAGACTAAAAATGGAATAGGGCTTTTCAGAAATGTTTAAAAAGAGAAATAATCAAAGATTTCCTTGTTTTCAGGGATGTTTTGCTTTTGGAAGCCGGCTTTCTCAGCATTTTAGTTGCACCTTTCTGGTATGGGAAAGTAAGCAGAAAGGCAAGAAATGTGCAGTCTGCTCCTTCTGACTTTGTATCATTCTGGTTAGTTCGCTGGCTCTTATTCCGCCTGGTATTTTCGGCTGGTGCTATCAAATTAGCCAGCGGCTGTCCCTTGTGGTGGAGTCTGGATGGTAAGTAATTTTCCTCCTTCTTTTCTTTTTGCTTTCTCCTGTATTCACGCATTCATTTTTATAAATGGGTGTGACTCAGTGTCCATGAAAATTTAAATTTACCCTTGTGTAAATGTTCAATAGGTAATAGATATAAATGCCAAAATATTGGGCCAACGAAAAGCTGACTTAACTCCTGAATTACCCTCACAACTTTTTTTTCAGCGTTACTTTTAAATACTTAAAATGTTCAGTCTCAAGTTTTTAGTGTTGTCAAACTGATGTGCGATATATTGCATGAATTAAATCAAAACTCTTGGCAAATTTTAACATGTTCAACATGGTGATTATTTCAATTTTTTACGTAAACCCATGACAATCTGAATAAAATAGAACTACATCACAACTTACTTCATGTTACAGCTTTAAGTGTACACTTTGAATCTATGGTGCTTCCGACGCCTCTGTCTTGGTATGCACACTATCTACCACGCTGGTTTTTGCGTTTGACCACTGCTTTTGCTCTCGTCAGTGAACTCGCTATTCCTCCTTTATTCTTCTTCCCAAGCAGACTTGTCCAGACAGTTGCCTTCTATGTTCAGGTAGGTATTCTCCAACAATTTTCACCCCTAATCCTGCTTAACCAGTTGCATTGTTTACAGTAAAGGTTTAAATTCTGATTCTGCTCTGTAATTTAATCATACGAAGGGTGTCTAGCGACCATGAAAGTCATAATTGACCATTTTTCATTGTTTTTTATTGATCATTTTTTGATTCTGACTTATAGCAGAAACCATGACATTTTTTGGCTTTTACTGTAATTTTCATTCTTTGGGCGCATAGTCACTTATATTTAACTATGACATCATTCAAAATACAATAAAATGTTAATAAAACACTAAAATATCTGGCTTTTTTCAGAAATATACTCTAATGTGCTTTGTAACTCATGACAAATCTCTACCGAAAAGTTGATATAATTTGACTTATAGTGGTTTGTATTAATTAAAAATATCGAATTTGGTCTCCAGTAATTTTTAGCGAAGCCATTGATGTCCAAATCCACCTGTGATTAATTTATTGATTCATTTACTCTTTTCCTCCGCAGATATTCCTGCAGCTGAATATATTCTTAACTGGAAACTTCAACTTCTTCAACATTTTGATCACCGTCCTTTGTCTATCGTTACTCTCGGACTCATTCTTTTTTGGAAGTAAGTAAAATGAATGCTTTTTATTTGTTTGATACTGTGTCACTTAAAAACTTGTGTCGTGTGAAGTTTCCAGATTTGTATGTGTTGAAAATCCTCTTATAAAGATCAAGAATGGCAAAAACACATTTTGCCATTTGCTGTTGTATGGGGTTTATTCTTGGTTCAAGCAACCTCACAAAATGCTGAAGAATTGCCTGATTTTGAAAACGGTTTACAAAAACTTAAAATTGCTTGAGTTTAATGAAAAAGACTGGGATTTTGCAAAATCTTGAAATCTGAAAAAAAAAACAACATAAGCTTTGTTGAAGTGAGTCTCTGTCTGGTTTAGGGTTGAATGTTCTGAGTTACACTCCAAGCGGTGAAAGTAGGAATTCTCACCAAGGAATCGCAATTTGACTTAGTGCCAAGATTAGCACTGAAGAAAAAAAAGTTTAATTATTTGCGGTGACATTAATGCCAAACATTTCTAATTTGAAGTGTCTAGTGTGCAAACTGTTGATGCGGAAAGTAAGGAAATTTTGGTCATTTTGTTCAGGAAAAACCTGGAATAGTCCGGAAAGTTTTTTGCAGAGTTTGTAAAGACCCCGGTAAAATTACAGAGGAGACAAATTGGTTGTAAGAAGGAAAGCTGTTGAGGAAATTGTCCTGAATGGTTTTTCTTTAATCTTGCCAACATCATATCAAGCAAGCACATATGTACTTATCGCTCATAACAATTATGCATTCTATTATTTTTTTTTTTTTTTTTTTTTTTTTTTTTTTTTTTTTTTTTTTTACCAGCAACCTGCTATGATAAAATTGTTAGGTTCCTTCTTATCATCAAACAAATCTTTAAAGTAAAAGTATTTTTCTCTGTCTCTCTTATTTATGATTTGACTTGTCAGTTGATGGAGACATCATGAATTTTTTTATTATCTTATACTCAGGTTTCGAATTAATTTCCAGCACTCCAGAATTGAGCATAAGCCAAAAAAGTGCTTCCACAAAAAACCTCAGGTTTTCTTTTTGGTTGTCAGGTTCTTGAGTTTAGTTTTTGTAATTTAGCGAAGCGAATTTTGACCGATTGGAAGAAAATTTTAAAATGGTAGTAAGAAGAGCTATTGATGCTTGCTGGACGTTGCCCCACCAAAGAAAGAAAAAAAAAAAAAAACTAAGGACTCTCCGTAATTTTCACTCTAGCTTAGTTTGCATGATTGGGAATATAATCAACACTTGTATGTCTAACTTTCCTATACCAAGCAAGAAGTGATGGATTATTCACTCCTCCTCCCACTAAAATTTATTAAAAGTGTTTTTCTTTCTCTCCTCAGGTATTCCCACGAAAGGTTCCAAAGGTGATAGCACTTTAAAAACTATATTGAGTATCCTTATAAGTCTGGGTGTTTACGGTACTCTACTCTACTCAGCCTACATTCTGTTTTCTCTGAAGGTTCTTCCGTCAGGAGCAATTGAAGCCAAGATTGGTACGTGCGTGCAAGTATAAATTCCTAATTCAATCACCATATATTAGGCTCTTAATTAAATGTGCTCTGAAAAGTGTCAAGTTATTAATTTTCAGACATATAAAGCGTACTGATGAGCTATCAGCAAGAACATAAATGGTTACTCTGATGAGGTGTCTTCTGACAATGCCACCCACTTTTTGAATTTTTGAAGGTAACACAAATTTAATTCGTTTCCATGTAGGTCAATTTTTTACACAGTGAGGTTAATGGGATAATGGGTCACTTGAGAAGGTCTGAATGAGAAAAGTAGTCTTATGTCCACCTTTCACAATCTTACGTAGAAAGCAATTTACGTGACAAAAAGTTTCTCAGAAAAACTTGTTTTTAAAAGTAGGATTTTTCAATTTCTGCCCAGATGAGTCCAATGGAGCTACAAGTAAGTAAATCTGCCTTTGGTTATCCGCATGCTGCATTTATCTCAAATAGTTTTTTAAAATTTTCAAAGGATCTAATATGCATTCATTTTTAAACAATTTCAGCATTCTCCAAAAATATGTTCGACACTGCCATGTCTTATGCAATGCCTGGATTTGCCATACTAGGAGCTGTCTCTCTATCCTTCACCGCTCTGTACGCATTGTATTCCTCTCTCCAGAACAAAAATGGACAGAAAAGCACCTTTTCCACGATTTTCTCCTTTATTTCAACGCTTGTGTATGTCCTCATAGCTGCCTTTGTCTTTAGTGTCAGTTTGGTAAGTATGAAACCTCAAAAAATGTCAATGAAAATTGTATGTTGAGAAGTGAATTTTTATGATGGAATGAGACAATGCTATCAGGGAAGAAGTAAAAATCTGTAAGCTTAGTCATTGCTCTAGGTTGTTTAATTGTTGTTCCAGGGAGGTTACTCAAGATACGTGTTATTAAATGTAATTTCATCGCAATAATTGGTCAATTGTCTGGCCCACTGCATTTTGAAATTTCATTGCATAGAGAGACAATTTATGCATCCAAGTTTAAACATGAAGCCCATGAACGTTGCTTCGTTGTCGCTGTATTTGTCAATAATGTCAGATAGGTAGTATTGTTTCCAATACAACACTTTATTCATTTGCAACAAAAAATGTATGCAATAAAGGAAATTTCCAAAAAAAGCACATCAAAAAGTTGGTTTTTGATAATGTGTGAGAGCCCTTCCTCTAATACATCCTTCGAGGAGGCAATAAGACAAAGAATTCATAGCTTGTTTTATTTTAATTTTTGTCTCAAAATTTTACCAAAGACTTTATTTCTAATCCTTGCTGTAACAGGTTCCATTTTCGACCATCCACCCAGCTGGCAAACAGATCGCTCTCCCATTGTTGCAGCAATTCAATGAAAGCGTCTCCAATCTGCACATAGCCAACTCATATGGTCTTTTCAGGCATATGACAGGTGTAGGTGGTCGTCCTGAAGTCATTATTGAAGGTTCTGACAACATGAAGGATGGGCCATGGAAAGAATACAACTTCCTCTACAAACCGGGCAGTGTTAGCAAGAGCCTGTCTTTTGTTGGTATGTTAATCATTTCATTGTCTTTAGCCTTCCCTCTTCAATTACTAACAGAACAAGTTTGCCGCACACATGTAGACTTTCTGTTGGTATCATTGCATAAAAATCATGTCAAGCACATCTGCAGTGTCTCAAATTCACTACTTATTGCACAATTTTTGGAGTCTGTATGAAGGGCTTTCAAATTTACCGTATTTGCAAGCATTTTTCTCAGCCACACACAAGTGAGTGTGCTATGAGATATTTAAAGATACTTTTCCTGAATGAACAAAAGGTCTAGTAAGAAAGAGATAAAATTTTGTGTACTCACTTACGCTATTTAAAATTTTATGGGACGCGTTTCGGGGTCAAGATGGCCCCATCATCAGCCGGCATCGAACCAACCTTGTTTTGTTTAATTGTATAAAAATGATCAAATAGCGCAAGTGAGTATGCAAAATTTTATCTGTTGTTTACAATATAGTCTTATGACTGTCCCCTTTAGAAGTTTCTAACTTCTACTAAGCTACTAATAGGTCTAGTAAGCTACTAATATTCTTTCTTATACATGATTTTGATATTCTCAAAACATTGATTGTTACGGATGCCAGCAAAAATGGCGGGGATTTTGCATTAGGGTTGCCGCAGTCAGGGAATTTTAAAAAGTCAGGGGAAACCTAAAAGTGTCAGGGGAAAATTGTTAAGTCACCTTCATTTGCCTTCTAGAATAAGTTTGATGTCTGAACAACGAAGTTTACCTGAAAACTGTCACTGGCCACCAACCATCTGGCATATCTACAATTGTCAGGAAATTTTACCAAAATGTGTCAAGGTAACTAATTTTCTAAATTATGTGGCAACCCTGTCTACCGTCAGATGAAATAATTGTAATGAATGTCTTTGACCATCTGTTTTCAGCTCCATACCAACCAAGACTTGACTGGCAAATGTGGTTTGCAGCCTTGGGAACTTACCATCAAAATCCATGGCTTGTATCTTTCGTCTACCGACTTCTAACTAATGAACCCGATGTTCTAAAACTGATTGACAACAGTCACAATCCTTTCCCCTCTGCACCCCCCAAGTTCATCCGCGGATCTTTGTACAAGTACAGCTACACACCACACGATACCAAGTGAGTCAATTGCCATAATATAAGTATATATTTCAGTAATATTTCTTTTTAAATCTGTTCTACCACACTCAAGTTTATAGGTTGCGTAATAATTATAAACTTGCCAATTATTTGTCTTGTAACATTTTCAAAATCGTCTTTTACTTTCACAAATTGGATGCTGCTTGTGGCACCCATTATAAATGCACATAATTAGAAGCGATCATAGTACAATTAAATAATGACTCTGAAGTAGAAAAGCTCTTGAATAATTTTTTAATTAATATTTTGCAGAACTTCTGATTGGTGGACACGGAAAAGAGAAGGTGAATACTTACCTGTTTTCTCTAAGGATCACCCTCCCCTTCTCGAATACCTGCGTGCGCAGAATATCCTGACATCGTCGAAGCCCAAATCCATCACGCATCCCACTGTCAAAGGTTAGTAATCCTCTACAGAAGTTAATTTTAATATTTACATCTATACTGAATTTGGTTTTCTTGCGAGTGAAAGTTTTGAATTTACTGTCCATAGAGTAAAGTACAAACGTTTGTCTCACTGATATGAGTTAAATTTGAAATTGTTTGATATTTTTAATGTGCTCAAGGTGAAATTTCGAAAGAAAATTAGTTTTAAAAGTATTCGATGTGTTCAACGTTTGCTGTATGAAATTTTTATGAGGAAACATGTGCTATAGTGACTAAGTTTCCACCTTTTTCAATGTTCCATTGGAAATTAATTTATAGGTCACCGGTTTAACGTAGTCCCTACAAATATTTTAATTGATCTCAAATTTCAATCATTGTCTTAGTAGCAGCTTCACATCAAAGAAGTATCAAATTGTGTATAGCCAAACATTTTGATGCTTGATTGCAGTGTTAAAGTCATTTGGAACAGTCCTTCATTTTTTACCACGAATTTGGTATGACCAACTTAAGAAGTTTAACTGAGCTCAAGTTTTACCTATAACAACATTTATATTATTTGTTCCAAGCTTTTGTTTATTTTCTTGGTTTCAAGCCATAGATCTTTTTTTTAAAGTTTTCTGTAAGCTTGTTTTATATGTACTTAAGTTTTTTCTTTATTGCTGATCAAAATCCCTTATCAATTTTTACACTATTAATGAGTTGAGTATTTTAAGTAATGTGAATACTATTTGAACTTGCAGAAGTGTTGGAAAAGACCCGCACAATTATTACAGCCGTTGAACCATATGTTTTAATGTGGTCTCTTATCACTGCTGCTTTTGCAATAATCTTCCTCACAACACCAAGCCAATCTGGACCATTCAAGCCCAAAAAGTAAGTCTATCAACATTATTTTTTACACATTTTTGAAGTCATTCCTTTACTTTTCCAAATGAACATTCCACTCTTCATTGTATCATTAAAGATCCGCAGGTTGACCATCAACGGAAATCCAAAATATTCTGAAAATTTATCCTCTGAAAAAAATTTGACTCTTCTGTAATGTCGTCCGGAAGATTTTTCTTCACTTTGTGCTACTGCACCCTCAACATAAGCCACAAATTTGTGGAGAAAAGTAGAAAAGAGTAAACTATTTCGATGGCTAAACACATAAAATACTTATCTCAGTTGCAACATTTAAGAATCAACGATTATGTTTTATTTTCTTTGAGGATTATAGTCAAAATGTTTCCTTTCAATTTTGTTTGATATTTTTAAAATAGGTAAGTGAAGGAAATTCATGAAAAATGTCAAAAGTAACTAATGGTTACTTTTCATTTTATAAGAAACATACTTAAGCAGGAATCTACACGCATTTTCTGACTCTAGCCATCATAATATTCCCTGTAGAGCAAAAATATACAATTACGTCCATCTAATTTTAAAGTCAAAAAGAACTCTCAATGCTTCCTTGAGAATGAACTCTCATATCTTGTCCTCTGAGGATAATCAACCAATCAGAATTTAAAGGAACACACTTTTAATTTGTTACAGATCTAAGTGAAACTAGAAGTCATAAGAATTTACTGGAGGAATTCTCTGAAAAACCTAATACCGGTGATCAAACTTTTTATTACTCTGGAGTAATTTTCAGTCTCTTCTCTTTAATATTAGTTTTTACTTTGCTTAAGACTTGCCTTTTCAATCTCAATGTAGGCTCATGATCTTTCAATACTCTCCTCAGGTCTTAACTTTGTAAGCAATGGCAGTGGCAGAAGACTGAATTGTAGGCGTAATTATGTAATGCCTTGTCCCTCTTACTTTGAAAACCTTTTTTTATTATTTTATGTGGATTTTAACAAGAGTGGACTATCAAACTTTTCAACTTTTAATACTCAGAGGTAAAATCAAGAGTTTGTAGTGCATTGATTTTTATCTGGAAAACTGAATGTTTGGTGGTAGTGGTGAAACGCCAAAAATTTTAATCGATTCGACATCTTTTCAATACTGCCCGCTGTTGATCAATTTTTACAAGTCTTCTGCATCTTTTTCTAAATATTTATTTTTCATTTATTCATTTATTTTTTTTTTTTTTCATTTTTTTTTTTTTGCAATAATACATTAAAGCAGTTTAGGCTCTCCTATCGAGCTGAAGGTGCTCATCAGCAAAAGTAAAAGAAGTGTAGCTGAAAAAATCTAAGAATTATATCTTTGAAAAAATGAAAGGGAGGTATTTTTACCATACTTTCACATGTAGTTGTGCTGTTTTTGTAAACTCGTCAATGGTCTGTTTATAACTGAAAAAAATACTCTTATAGTAAAAGTCTCAAGTGTTCTTTAACAACAAAAAATAATTAATTTTCTTCCTGCGTTTTCTTTCTTTTTTGTAAACAATTTTACTTTTAAACAAAAAAAAAAAAAACCTGTAATCCTTTAATTTTCTTCTTCTTAGGTATTTCTAATTGTAATTTGTTTGCTACTCTCATGTCATCTGCAAACTGCATGAATCTTATAAATGTGATTATTAGTTCTTTCTCTACACCGAATGAAGCAACTGAAGGAAAGATAAAGTTTATCATCTCGAGTTCTGTTCATTTTGGGTAACTTTAATGAAAAGCTTTAAATAGTAGAAGACATGAAATAAAAGAGGCAAAAAGGGTTTTTTATTTGGACCACATCTAGTAATTAGGAGCTACAATCTCTGGCTCTGTTTAGAAACAACGTTTGTACCATTTGTTTCCCTATGCACTTACGTGTTCTTACAGATGAGCTAGAAATTTTAGTTCCTAATTGATGACGGTAGTCCAAATAAGAAAAACCCGGGTAATGTGCAAAAAAAAGTGTTGTATGTATCGTATCTTTAAAATAATAATTTGTGATGTGCAGCTTTATTAATTTATGAACCTTAATCGAAGGGTCCCCCTCACTTTGCCGCGTTCAGGAAGAACGCTGTATGAGCCCTCAGACATTGCTGAATTTCCTTTGATAAAGTACAAATTTTCCGAGAAATTTACAAATATTTTTCCTCCAGTTTTTAGAGAATTTTATTCCTAATTCGAATCAAATTACCTGAAAATTTCAAAAGAAAAAATTCATAACTCTTCTTAAAAATAAACATTGTGTTGGAGGAAATGTAGCTACTCTCAAATTTTCAGTCACTGTTTTTCCTCAGCACAGCAGTATTAAGACCAGCAAAAAGACAACAATGAGCATCAAACTCTTGCTGAGCTTGCAGAAAATGTACTTCTGCAAAGCAGGGAGAAGAAAGTCTTTGAAGAATGAAACTAATGTTTTTTTCCTCACTCACTTGTTTTCCTTTTCTGCTCTGTTTAGTGAGGAAATTCTAGATAAGAACTCAAGAACAGTCAATTTTTCTTAGCTCAGCCCCATTCATCATCAGTTTTCTGCTCTTGAACCTTCTCTTGATAGATTCCTTGGGATAAAATAAGTGCCAGGAATGTTAAATATGCCTACTTATTTTAATTATCCTCATTGTGTGTTTTCAATTATTAGTCAGAGCCAGCGCTTGAGTGCATTAGCCCTTTTTAAGATCTTCGATGGATTCGATTCAGATTGAAAGGCATTAGGAGAGAAATTTTGATACGAAACCGTCCTACTTTTTTTAGTGTTTATAATCATCGAATTTATTATTTCGAAGTGGAATGACTCCTTACTGTACAGCTATTTAGGCAGCATCTGCTTACTTCCATTTTCGCTTCATCTTGCTTTTGTACTTTTTTTAACCTTTATTTTCAGTCAGGGTATTTCAATATTTTAAGTTGATAGAGCTGTTCTTATGAAATTATGTTCCATGTTATTTTTTTCTATCCTTTTTTAATTGGTCAAAAAACTTCCGCTTCAGTCAAAAAGCAACGGGGAAAGTTGAATTATTATTTCATACCAAGATGATTCCAACAAGACACCTTGATTCAAACACCTCTAGTGTATCTGCAGCAATGGGCACTGCATAGGTTGCAGAAACGTTGCAGCAACCTTTTTGTAACGCCTCTGCAACCTTTTCTGGAAACGATTGCCCGACAGGATTCAAAATCCTCAGAAAAATGGATTTACCAAAGTTTCTGAGTTCAGAAGCTCCGAGATATTGGTGTCCTTAATTCAGTGCTTTAGCTTATGACTCTCAAAGAGGTAGGAGCTAAATCTGTTGGTTTTCTCTTTCCTTTCTAGCATTCTAGTGATTGTTGCTACTTTATCAATTAAGATTCCTGGGTGACTTTTTTCTCAGCTTTACATATAACTTTTAGTGGTTCCTCCCACACTGTGCAAGCATTAACTTTTAATCAAAATTCATAGGTACTTTTTCAAATTCCTCTTGTGTCCTTTAAATGTGTATTTTATTAAGTAAAGTGTTAGCTAAATTAAGAAAAATTCTTGGTTTTCAGTGCCTTGGGAACGTTTATCATACGAAATCTATAGATGAGCAAAGATTCTATATAACCAGCATCCTGTATCCTAATTTCTTATTGGGAATCTAGCTTTAAACCAACAGGAATCTAGGGTTTCAGGAAAGACTGGATTATTCCTTTCAATAGAAGCATGGAAAATTGATCGTCTTATTTTGATAACCTTCGGCCTTGGGAGTCATAAAGTCCATTCTAAATCGTTGCATAATTATAACCCTTTTTCCTAAAATTTTCGAAAGTTTGAATTTTCCCGGCATCCAAGAATGTTGAAAGGAAAAATTCAATGCACCTCCAAGCAAGATCTCTGATGTAACCTAATTTTGATCTGATTTTCGTAGTTAAGTTTTACAAGAAGTTCATTCATCATCAGGGGCGAACTAGAACCGATAAAATAACCGAGAATTCCCGCCCATCTTAGTTGTTTTTTGTTGCTGTACAAAGGAGACCAACTGGTCCAATATCATCCTATGTATCGACAGGCTCACTAGGATTTTTCCCAGTGTTCCCGCCTCCCTGTCCACCCCTGTTCATTATAGTCAGAACAACGTTTTCTTGAATATTTATAGCTTAATACCTGATGAGTGAATGTATATCAACGTATAAGCCCACCAGTGCCGAACATAGCTATCTAATTTTCATGTTAGACTTCTTTCAGAGGTTATATATTTTATACTTTATTCAGAGGCTCAAGTAAGTAAAAGGCACTTTGTGTTGTCTGTAAGACAGGGCATCACATGACACTGATCAATGTATGAAGTCTCAAACATAACTGATTTTCCTCTTTTTCTTTTTAATACCTCTTTATTAAAGCTATGGCTTTCCTCTTAATCGTCTGCCTAGTCCTTCAACTTAATCTCATCTAATAAAATAACCTTTGTATATCATCGTAAATCCATCTTATAATACTTGTGAATACTTGTGATATTAGTTTTGATGATCAAGGAGGTATCCTAAATCTCTAACCTTTTCCAATTTGTTTGATACTTTGATTGTCACGGCATTTAGATCATTGCATTTTTCCTTCTATGTAACATTCAGTTGTTTATATTTTAAGTGTTTTGTACAGTTATTCTATCAATACATCAGTCTATGCTGTTGCTGACATTTTTCTCAATTTCTAGTGTGTATGCTCTTTCCAAATTTATAATCAATCCAACCCTGTCTCTATTGAGAAATCACCCTTCACTGATAAACATTACGGAACTCAAATCTTTTAAACCGATGCTCAATATCTCCGCACGCTGCACGGCTCATCATCATACAATCACTTTTTGATTGTTGGAGACTGTGTTTAGGTGGACGTATTGGACATTTATCCAGAAACAACCTAACTGCATGTCTCGTTGCCTAATTTCTTCCCACGTGTTATTTTTTAACAGGAAACGGGACCATAGATTGCCTTGAAATTTTCTGTGAATTTTCTCTAGATTATGTAGAGTATTCTCACACAAATTCAAGTCAGAATGTTACTTTATTTTATGTGAAAAGAATAAAACTTTAAGGTGAATTGGGCAACGTCTGATGCAGTTAAGCTGATTCTAACGCAATCTGCCCAACTGAACTGTATTTTGCAATGAGGAACTACAAATTTCTGGCCCTGACGTAAAAACACCTACCTCCCTAGACAAACTAATGGCACATATGTTGTTTCTATAATAAGCCAGAAAATGTAGTTCCAAATTGCAAAATGCAGTCCAATTTATTAGCAGTGCAAACATTTTAGTAAAAGTTAAAATTTGTTTTATTAATTCTTCTTTTTAATGAATTAATGAACAAAATCCACATATTAAAATTCTGTCCAGATTAAATTTCATAGGTAATCCTCATACGTCATGTTCTGAGAACAATTGTAAGTGCAAAAACTTTCTCAAGATCATTTTGACATATTTTCAACTTCTAAAGTAGACCGAAAGTTACTGCTTTAAAAGCAATTGTTTGTCAAATTTATAAGGCACAACAGGTCTTGATGAAGTTTTAGTTGCTTACTTAGTTATGTTATTCACATAAAATTTTCCAAATAACGTTGAGTCCAGAAGTGAAGTCAAATTTCACTTCTCACCTCAAGTCCACCAGTGAAGTCAAATTTCACTTCTCACCTAATCATTTGGGTCAGAAGTTTATCTATTTTTGAGCTTACTGCTTCAATGAGTAAGTGTGCGAATGCAAGTTTGCAAGGTGAGTCAAATGAGTCACCCTAGTTTAGAAGTCATGGCAAAAGAATCCTAGAGAGTGAGAATTAAAGAGAGAAAAAAGTAGTCGCACATAGTAAAATTTTTTTATTTTACAAAGGCGCCTTAGCAACTTTAACCATTCACACCTCTCAAATTAAAGTACAGGGTTTGTTATAAAATAGGAAAATTATTACAAAAAAGGAACAACTTCGGAAAGGAGAACGTAATTTAGAGGACAGGAAGAAAGAAAGGATAAAAAGAAATAGTAACCTAGAAGACCTACTTAATGACGGGGGAAAGTCCGACGCTAGTTCTTCGGTTTGAAAAAAGAAGGGCAAAAATAAAATAAAAAAAATTGTTCCAGGGCCGGATTTTCCTACTTGCCGCCCATGGGCCGCCTGTATTTTGCCGCCCCCTTCACATTCGTTTTGAAACATCAATAAAAACCATCAAGTGAACATGCCAGCGGGGAAGGGGTGCATAAGACGCGTTTATTCGTGTTGAACACATTTTTTGGGAAAGCCCTGTCAACACTTCAAGCAAAAGGTCACGGAACTTTGCGCGAAAGTCAAGTTTCGTAAACCTATCTCTAATGGATAAGGCCTTCCATTCATAAGAAAGGAACGAAAAAGTTATGAAAGATCAAACACAAAAATTGGCTCAATGATTTTAACTTCCGCCGCCGCGCCGCAACGTCCGCACCGTGTTTGGCGCAGTGCGTGAAGTATTCACGGAACTAGGCTGTTTTGAAAACGCCTTCAAATGCGGCGTGATACCTCACACATTCCGGAGAGTTCAAATAGTTGTATCATTGCGCCGTAAGAATGTGACGGAAGATTTAAATGGAGATAGCCTCCATGAACGCTGGGCTTGTCGATTTCCTCTGAAATTTTTGCAGTGGTGAATGCATAGCTGAAGTGCGCTTCAGCTAGAACTGTACTTACAAATGGGTGGTTTTTCTACGAGGATTAAAAATAAACGAGTGGTACGGAATATAACAAAAGAATATGAACTATGCAAAACGATAATCCGGGTATCGAAACTTGGCTGTTTTGAAAACGCCTTCAAATGCGGCGTGATACCTCACGCATTCCGGAGAGTTCAAATAGTTGTATCATTGCGCCGTAAGAATGTGACGAAAGATTTAAATGGAAATTGCCTTCATGCAAGCTCGCCACATCCCATCTCGGGCCCTGGTACCAGTTTTAAGGTCCGGGCCCCAAGCACGGAGGGGGGGGGGTCCGAATGGCATCCCCCGAGAAATTTTAGAATTTATACGACTAATTGGACGCATTTTGAAGCTTCCATTAAGAATTTTTCCATCAATTTCTGCGGAATTATTATGTTTTTTTTTTTTTATACTTTCAGCACAAAATATTTGCGAATTGTTACATTCAAAACATCTGAAAAATTTTTATTTTTTTGGAGGGGGGGAGGGCATATGATACTATTTTCAGTTCTAAGAGAGCCCGCCCCCCCTGGACTCCCCCTTCGTTTGTCTATGGCAAGGGAGTTGAGCCATGAGCCATTGAAGTCGAGGATGCCCAGACTGGAGACTCTTAGCATCTGACGACGGAAGAAAATGAAACGCAGTTACTAAAAATATCCTTCTGTACTGAAAATCTTGAAAATAGATAGAAATTTTCCAAGAAGTATACTTCTTTAGAAGAAGAAGTCTACAGTGCCCCAGCGTGTTTCTGTAAATCTATTCACTTTTTGCGAAATTTTTAGGGTAACTTTTTCACTTTTTCTTACGAAACAAGGGTTGCATGTGAATTCGTAGTGGTTTTTCACGGGTAACACGGCCCCCCCCCCCCNGGTACCAGGGACTCAGTACCCCCCCCCCCCTTATGGCGGGCCTGGATCACGGGATGGTTTGACTGTGCAAGTGTGCAAGATCTGCACGGGTCGTATACCCCTATGATTGAAGGCGTTTTGAACCATTTTGCGCGTAGAAGGCGTTTTGAACCATTTTGCGCGTAGAAGGCGTTTTGAGCACTTTAATTCCAATAGGTAGGTACTTATATTAATGGACAAAGTGCAAAATCACGTATCTCCATTATGGTGTTTCAAAATTTTAGCTCCTATTTTACTTTTTTGAAGAGAGACAAGCCAACTTCATGGCTTGAATTTAGAATAAAGAATACCTATTTTGCAGGGTGTCTACAAGTCCGGAAATAGTACTGATTTTTAAAGGGCGGTCCGGAAGTACCGAAAAAGTACGGATATTTCGCAAGAAGGTCCGGAATTTTTTTCATGGCTTGTCATTTTTGTTGTGATTTAAGCAAGAAATTCAAATGTTTTACATTTTTCGAACTTTGTCAAACGGAGGTACTGAAAAAGTACTAAATTTTTCTGTTGAGGAAGGTACTGAAATTTTTAGGAATGCACTGAAAAAGTGCTGTAAAAGCACTGATTTTTGGCCAGCCAGTTTTAATAGACACCCTGATTTTGCCACCAGAGAAGGAAAATCAAGAGAGTATTCAATAACTACGTTGACTGGTTTTCCAAAGAAAACATGAAAACCGAAGAAAATTCTGCGGCGTTGCAGATGGAGATATGTGGTTTCGCACTTCGGTCATCGATATTCAAGTAACTACGCACACATTCGAGGGACTCACCTCTGTAGAGAGGCGTTTCGACCAAAGGAAACTCGATTTTCAATCACGTGTAACTATTTTGAAAAGTTCACCATTTCGAGAACTCCTGCCCTGCTTTTACGTCTAAGAGCTCCTGAAACCGAGATGGGCCAATTTCGGACGAATAGATTCAATTTTGAGCTGCTCCTCCACAAAAGTCGACCAAAATATAACCTCGAAGATGAAATGAATGTCACGTAATGGAGAATTCTTACGCAAATGTTTTATTGCTTCTTCTGAGAGTGCTTAAAGAGGTGATTTTGAAGTATTTTTCATGATTTTTTTCTCGTATGGAAAATAGCTTGAAAATAGATTTAAAAGTGAGAATATGTGCCACCTAGTGACGTCATCAGACCGCATTTCCCATTTGAACACTTGTATTTTAGCAGACTAGATAATTTTTTCATATCTTCTCGAATAATTGTTCAATTTAAGAACCAAGGGTATTTTCGTGTTCTATTCACTAAGTATAGTTCCTCGAAACTCATCAAATTTCAGCCACTTGCAAATTCTCCATCATTTAGAAAAATCCGTCACATTTTCTGAAGGCTGCCAGCCAGCCCCCCCCCCCCCCCCCCCGGCCTCCCTTGTAGTGCCACCCATGCCGGACGGATACCCAGTGGCAGTGTGTAGCGGTGCCCGCAAAGGATTATGCATCACCGCAGGGCATCTCGATTCAATGCCCCTATGCCAACACCGTGTGCTTATGTCTCGTAGCTGCAAAGCAGCTCTTTATCGGCCACGAGCATTTTACACGCGGTTTGATCATTATGTAATCTGCGCTTGCGTCGATCTGGGATGAAAAGTGATTGCGACTTACCATGCAACTTGCTCAGCTCACGAAAGCAAGTATTCTCTATCATGAAAGTGGTTTCTGCCCCCAACCGAGTTGAGCATAAATTGGACGTATTTCTGCTGAACGGAACTATGTGCATTATGACGTGAGCCCTGTTATGCATAAATTCTTATGGGTCTCAGGGCTCATGTCTGAGTGGACATAGTTCCGTTTGGCAGAAATACGTCCAATTAACACGTGAATCTATACTAGAGTTAGGTAATCAAGCATTAAGATATTAAGATTTGAAACAAGCTTTGCTGAGATACTGGCTTAATTTAAAGATTTGGCCAAAAACGAAACGGTCACTCTTACGGGCAGATTTCAGTCAGTCGCTTCTGAAAAACCAAACCCTGAATTGGATCAGGGCTGAATACACCATGTAGGCGTTCTCAGCGCGCCTAGGAGTCCGCAACACATGGTTTCCCTCCCCCTCGCAATGCAAACTTTTTATTGTTTTGAAACACAGTATTTTTCCTTCGTCCCATCATTCATAAGTCAGTAGGTAGCTCTATTCCTTTCTGTCCTTCTGTGTGCCAAAAAATTCCTCAAATATCGTTTAAGAGGAGATAAAATTTCAAATTCCTCTGGGGAGGCAGAGGCCCCAGACATCTCTCTTTCTCTCTCGCTCTCTCAGGGAAGTCCATCTCAGAACCCGCCTTCTCCCCTGAGAAGATGCACATTTGAACTGCATTCTGCAATTTGGACCTATAGATTCTAGTCCGGTTTAAAAGCAACGTATGTGCCATTAGTTTCCCTATGCATATAAGCGTTTTTCCAGAGGAGCCAGAATTTATAGGTCCAAATTGCAAAATGCAGTCCATTTATGTGGCACGCACTAGACAGAAACTTCACCCAGCGGTCCAAAAATCCTAAATTCATCTACTACTATACATGCGCGTCTACAGGCTCGCATCACAAGGTGTCCAATAAATACATTATCAGGAGTGGTTGAGTTTCGAAGTTTTTCCCTTTCAAATGGAAAACTGAATTTACTAAAAACCGTCGGTGAGTCCAGTGACCTCACCTTATTGAACCTAAATTGACACCTAATTGAATCATCACCTGAGAGGGGGGGGGGGGGAAGGCTCAATTGAAAAGTTTTTCTTTTCAAGAACATTTTTTGGCTTTTGAAAGAGATTCGTGCATCTTTCACTTTAATCCCTTCGTTCAGCTTTTCAGACGAAAGACTTCTGTCCCTCGAAACGTCGTTTTAATTAGCATCTTGATTGGAAGACTCTGCCGACTTTATTCTCAAAAATGGTCGGGATTAAGACTAAGTAAAATGTCAAACATTAACTTTGACGTGACCGAATAGCGGTGTCACACTCACAATCAGATGGCAAGATTGCTCGAGGAAAAAAGCGGAATAGACTTCACCTAGCGTGGAGCGGTGACTTTAGCTCATTGTTAGTTCGCCTTCAGTTACCAAAGTAGGCAACACCAGCTCCTTCGTGGCCGAATAGTGGTATCACTCCAGGCGTCGCGTTCGCTCGAAGGAAAAAGCGGAATAGACTTCATCCAGCGTGGAGCGGTGACTTTAGCTCATTGTCAGTTCGCCTTCAGTTATCAGTGTAGGCAATACAAGCGGCCACTTGAATTGTGGTATCATCCTTAGAGATCATGATCACTCGTCCATAAAAGTATATCGAGCTTTTTATGAAGCATGTTTTCCGAAATTCGCGGTATTGTTAGCGAACCAGATATTTCGTCAGTTTTGTTTTATCAAACTTTTTTGGCGAATTCGGGAGCCTCCTTCAAAAGTTGACTCGTGATAAATACAGCTATATTACATAAATTATGAAAAATACCATGTAAGGTGAATACTATAGTTTCATTTTAAAATTTTCAAAGAAAACGATCCATTACGTCAAGAGGCCGTATTATATATGTTTCTTTTCTAAAAATGGTGTTTGTCATCCATAGAAAAGCTCATATTTTTTTAGGAATGAGCAGCTGATTTGCTTTTAGGCGTAATGGATCTGATTGAGGCTCAACATTTTTATCAAAAAGCCGATACCATGATGCCCGGGAGAAGACAGCGTGGAAGTTTGACGGCAGGGCAGCGGAGGAAGAGAAGATCGGAAAGTGTAAATTGCCTGATGATCTAATAGTTTATGTAGTTAAGTTTTTGCCCCCCTCCCTTTCTTA